CTCACTTCTCTAAAGGTTGCTGCCAAAATTTGTTCTTTTGTTAATTGTCTGCACGCTACCGTTATTTTATTTTTTAAATCCTGTAAGTTTGCTGGTGGATCTGCATAAACAACAGTCTTTAAATGACCCCATAAAAAAAAATCTAATGGTGTTAGATCAGCTGACCGTGGGGGCCATTCCACTGGCCCGTGAGTTCCCATCCATCGATTTCCAAACATTTCATTTAACTGTTGTCTTACAATAATGGCATTATGAGCGGGTGCTCCATCCTGTTGAAAAAATAAGTTTTGACGAAGTAAAATTAAATTTGGCTATACATTTTTTTTTTGGTAATTTTGTATTAAATTATTTAAATGTATTTCATTTTAGTTCAAAAATTACTTACTTTTGTATCAAATTCAAGCTTGTAATGTTTTTGGTAAAATCGAACAAATTTAATTTTTTTTAAATTTCCAAAAGGTGTAACTCATTCAATTTTTGGTTTAGAACTATGGTCAATGGATCAAAATTTCTTAGAATAAAATAATCTATCCATATCCGCTGACAAAAATAGGTGTTGCAATTTAAAAAAAAAAATTTGTATTGCGCATGCGTATACTACAAGAGTTAAAAATTTGAAATTTGTCCTTAAATGTGTACTTCAGTACCCCTAAGCTATTGCAGCAAACCGTATTTCAATCTAAGATTATCGGGCTGAGATATTTAGTGGTACATTTAAAACGGGACACACTGTATGGCTCGAACACAATCGTTTTGTACATTGTATACTTGTATTATTATTATTTTTTTATTATTATTATTGAACTTAAGCCCGGCGACTAAGGCCATTAGCTGTTGAAGGGGTTATGAACTGAGGTAGGGGTAAGGTTGGTACGGTAGGTAGCAACTTGTATTATTATAGACCTATATTATGATAGTCCTGCGAATATAATATCAAAAGCACACTAAACCGCATTTAATTCAGTGCGCTTGACAGTTGACCGCCACCTGCAAATGCAGGCGATTATGCCGTTACCGATCGATAATTCATAATATTATTGTTATGTACATTTAATAATTAAAAACGAAAGACTGCTGCAGACCATGCACAACAGTCGTAGTTGTATCCAGGGCCGTCTTGAAGGCGGTTCGAGCTGTGCAGTGTCACAATGCGTCCCCGTGAATTGAGAGGCCTGTTGAATAAATACATCGTCGAGCCCATAGTTCATGAATTTAATGATTTAGAATCATGGGTATATTATGATTATGATTTTATGATTAAAATCAGACTGTCTCTGGACTCTGAGCCTCGAGGCACCTCTGTAACGTCTAACGCGCATCCACTAAATGACCCTGGCAAAAATATTTCACACATAGTCCCGATATTCACCAAACCTACCCGTGTTGTATATTATACGCATTTTTTACCAGTTCATAAATAAAAAAATAATGATTTCTGTAAGAGTGGTAAAAACCGTTCGGTATAATATATTATTATTGTGGCTCGGCGCGGCGCAGTGGCTGAAATCAATCACGCGACGTGATTGAGAGTAAGCAACAGTCGCTGCAACTATAGTTCTCGGATGGGTGACCACCAGAGTAACGTAGTGCGCAAAAACCTTGCCACACATACACATGTTCCTAACTGACTGTCCCAACCCTACTGTACCAAAATTCAGGCTTCAGGCTAATTACCTCAGTCCTCAAAACCTAATAAAAATATAAAATAAAAAAAAAAGTATTATAATATATTATCATATTGATTCACAAACTCGTATAGCTACAGAGCGTTGCTCGGTCACTTTTGTCTTAGTAATACTGTAATAGGAAACCGAAGACTATACACGCGCATTTCGATTTGATTATTTTTAGGTTTCTAGATTTTTGCTATGTTTTTTAATATGTTTTTTGTACCGAACATAAAAGTAGATAAACTTGAAGTTTTCTATGTCATCAGCAGTTAGATGTGTGTTAACAAATTATGGGAAGTATTATGACGTTTTCATATTGTTCAATAGCTTTCAAAAATGCGGACATAATAATATATATGCTATACATTTATTTTCGTGTGACATTGGTAAGGTTATTTTGTCATCATATAGAAAAAAACTGGCCAAGTGCGAGTCGGACTCGCGCACGAAGGGTTCAGTACGACAGTACCATCATCTATAAACATGTTGGCAACAACACTTCTTATATTATATATTCTAGAATTTTTAGTATTTGTTGTTATAGTGGCAACAGAAATACATAATCTGTGAAAATTTCAACTTTCTAACTTTTATGGTTCATGAAATACAGCCTGGTGACAGACGGACAGCGGAGCCTTAGTAATAGGGTCGTTTTACCGTACGGAACCCTAAAAATGTCTATTATTATTATTATTATTATTACTATTATATATTCTTATTTCTTAATCGCGTATATTGAGATAAGAATAAGAAATGAGAAAGCATTTAAAACATAATATTATCTATTTCCCGACTTCCGGGAACTCTACTCAAGAAATTCTAGAACCTGCAACTAAATCATTCAAAACTCAACATATACGTATTCATCAATGATAAGCTGTATGTGCTTGGACTCAGAATACAGTAATAATATATTATGTAAATTAAACTTTGACAACCAATAAGTTATAACCCCTTAGTGGCCTTAGTTGTCTATTGTTGATGCATCGCAATTCGTAATCGTTATTTTGTCATTGACAGTATAACGGGAATACGGGATTTTGTGTTCGATACTCGGATAGGCCATAGCACGAGCTTATAATGTATATTGAGCTCAAATTGTTAATATCACAGTGAATTTTTCACAATTGTATCTCATGCACGTCAAACAAATTTATTTTAAATAAGTTTTAACTTCATATTATGAAGAGCAGCTATAGTTGCAGGTCGCAGTAAATAATATTTTTCGTATAGGTACCTTGCAGTGTTGTACGAATAGTAAATACCTAAAAAATACTTAAAAAATAAGTTTATTTTGTCATATTGTTTGTTTTTAGATTCTAATACGTACATAATACTCGTTATTGTCTTAAAATGTTTAATACTTTAATAGCTGGTGTTTCAACTTTCATTTCTTGTACAAGTAACGTCTTGGCGTCTTTGGACAATCGGATCAAAATTACAGTGAATCATATTATTTATTTGGAAATATGTTTTCACGATGTAAATAATAAATATAAATGTATTTAAATATATAATAAATTTTTTAAACAAATTATAATAGTTAATTTTGTTACATTATCCTATTACAGTATTAATGTTATGCATAATTTGTCTCGTTATAAAGTATAAACCAACAATTCGGGTCACTACGCCGAGATGCACAAACATCATCATACGCTAATTTAACAAAAACAAATAAATGTAGATTGTTAAATGTTCAGCATTAAGTAACCAGCTTAATAATAATAGTACTGTCACTTATTATACCATTATTATTACTTATAAGTTATAGGTACTCAGAATTTAGATTGGTGTTTACTATAGTCTATATTTAATATTCTTTAAAATCAAAAGTAATTATTATACCTACTCAAAAAAATTAAAACCAACATTTTTATTTATTTAATATTCACTTCGACGTTTTTTAATTATATTTTGCATTCATTATTCAGCACTCAGTAAGGTAGTATAATATTATATAGTTTATACCTACTTAAATATCTGTAAGTTTCATTTCTATAAATATTTTATGGGGTGGACACCAAAAAAGAAAATTATTTAAAATTTTTATTGATAATATTATAGGTTTATTTATTATTTTATTACCTAAGCATTGCTATTAATAATTAATAAATAATAAGCATAATTGTAAATAATATATTTATATATTATAAATATAAATGTTACCTATGTATTAGTATCATGTAGGTACCTATGTATTAAATATTGTTATATTTTGTTTTTAAAAATAATTAATTAACTGTAAAATGCACCAATACAGAGTGTGTTTTTACTTCGTCAGAATAACAAGACCATCTAATTTCTTGTATTTAATATGCCTCTGTAGTAGTTGATTCGCAGTATTTCATACTCAATTAGACATTAAATAAAATTAACAGTATAATATTATTAAATAATACATATATTATATATTATTATAATAGTTTATTCAAAGATAAAATGCTTAACACGAGTAACATTATGTAAAAATCAAATGTCGGGCTTTGCATATGCACATGTTGAGATTGTTATCTTGTAGGTACAGTTCATTGTCGGTTTCCAATTCGGCTTTTCTCTAATTAAAAATACGGTTTAGCCAAAACGATTTTCTAACATATTATAACTACGATAATGTAATATAAAAATATAATTCGCGTGTCGTAAGTGAATTTATGTACCATAACGGATCTTTTTGTGTAACACGAAAATAAACAGTTTAATAAACGGTTTGAATTCATCTTAAAAACAAAGATAAGTCTAATTAAAATAGTATTATGAGAGTTTTCTGAGATAATAGTATAAATTCACAATTTATTGTTCTTATACATGTTATAACTTACAGTGCGAAAAAACTTTTTACTTAATTGAGCTATTAAAAAACACGCATCTCAACAGAAATAAAATAAAATATATATTTATCGTTTTTTTTCTTAAAAATAATAAAATATTATGAAGATACCGCTCAAAGACTGTATATTTATAATATATATATATATTATATATGGGTTAAGATATATCAGACTAGATCAGCGTGCGGGTATATAATATCATAAAAGTTTATGCTCTGTTATATTATCGTCTTTAACGTGCAGCTCTTAGAATATTATAGTTTGGCGATCTCGTAACGTTTTCCCGCACTCTGAGCATAATATAATAATAATAACAATTATCATAAATATACAATGTGGACTCATGTCCTCATATTGTCGTCGAGTGACACCTTCAATATATATATCAATATATAGTCTGTTTGGGCTATGTTATAAAGCGTTTGTTATTTAAAATGACTTTTTTTGTTAATTTTATCTCTCGTTAAACTTCGATCGGGCCCGATCTCGTAAATATCGTCTATAAATGGTGTATGTTAAGGAAGAACCCCATTATGGTGACGGCGGCTGTAGCTACCATCGCTGTGACGGTCGCGCTGTACCAGTACGGTCCATTGGAGACGACATCCTTGGAACCGTTGCACATGTCCGAGGTACAGGAGCAATGGGTCACGTCGATGTCATGTGACCCGAGTCTACCATAGCAATCCTGGTCATCGTGAGCAGGATCCTCCACGTATCCGCAATCCCGCACTATCCGGATACTCTTGTGAACTGTTTAGAAATATGACAAATATCGATTATAAGTATATACAATCAATAGTTCAAGGGTGGGTAGGGGTAATAGAGGTAATAAACTAATACCGTTTTAAGAAAAATAAAAAAATCTAATAACAAATATTGAATGATTTTTAACGGTTTAATAAAGAACATTAATCGAATAATATTCATGATATACCTACCTAATATATTTGTAACTTGACATAATTATATAATATATAATATGTAATAATAATAATAATAATACATATTATGTAACAATGTGTCTGTATACAAATATAAGATATTATGTTTATATTATATACTTACTGTTTTGGACAGTCTTCCGACATATCACTGGTTCTTTTCCTTTCAAATGAATAGGCACGTCTGTTATGTTGCAATCAACTAAACCAATGGTGTACGGATTGAATGGATCTCCGCACCTCGGATCATATTTAGAATTGCACTTGTAGCATATTATCGATTTTGCACCTACACACAGTGAAAATAATTATTAAATGTGATTGCATATATATGGTTAAGTATATATATATATATATTACAATTTATTATATATTCGTATATTAATGCAACGATACAGTATTCATTGTAAAACCATTAAAAAAGTCACGTTGTATTTTACTTAAGATAAGTTGTAATACATTTTTATAGTAAATTCTTGAGATTTTTAAAGATATCAAAATCTTATACTTATGTCCTAGATTTCGATATATATTATAAAGTACCTACATTTCGTGGGGAAAAAATGGTAATGTGGAATTGTTTTAAAATATTTAACAATTTAAATCTACCTATTTCAAATTTATCAATTATGACTGTAGATAATATTATATAATAAACTATATAAGCATTATTATGTTTTATAATGTTAGGTGTTTATAGACTTAGTGACTATAGTCTATAGTGAATGAAATAGTATTTTTATTTATATAGTTGTGTTGTTCAGTATTTAACTCGGTACTCATATATACCTAATCCATAATCACATACATATTATATTTACTATTTATGTAAAAAACTTTATATTCAGCTTAAAAAGTGTTTACTTTCTATTTTGTCTATATGCATTGGTACATTACACTGGACGGGTGACTGCCAAAATATCTTTTCCCATGTTATATTTATAGGAAAACATGCGGTAACACATTCTGTATTATAATAGCTTATAAATTGTCCGTGGTCAGTGGCATAGGTGTAAATAGCCTATTTTTTTATGGGGACTTAAGCCCCCACCATATTTTCACCAAACCCAATGGTCATGGCTAATGGTCCCGAGTGCATTTATTGATTTATTTGATTTATCATAATTTGTAATTTTATTGATCGAGTTTATTTAATTTTAACGTTTGATTTTGTAACAAAAATAATTCAAATAGGTACCTACTTTTTTGTAAGAGATATCAAATAGTTTTTAAACAACTTGCTCAACTATTATTATTATAACAAATAATTCATATAAATATATTATATTTTAGATTCTGAGCGGAGCGAGAAAGCTAGTGGTTTTACAATGGTGTTTATTTTTTTTTTATATCCTGTATACAAAATATATCTATATATATATATATATTTTACTTGTATATGTACATAGAGTAATGAGTATTACACACATAAAGTATAACTTTGACAGTAATATACTGTCTAACCCAACTCAAGTAGTCAAGTGTATTCAACCATATTATAATAAACCTTAACTAGTTGCCTCCCATCCTTATCGTAAATAAAAAAGTTAATATCCACTAGTTGCGTTCGATGATCAAGTATTTCATAATTAACCTCCAAGAATTTTCACACAAGTTGCCTCCCGGCTCCCATATAAAACTAACTAGTGGTTAATAAACTTTACTATAACTTTACTACACCATGTAAATACCTACTCATTTGTGTTATAATTATAAAACTTATAGGGAGGCAATACTGTGCCTGTAAAAATTATTGACCTTTTGGACTTCAGGAGAAAACTAGTTTATGCGCCCTAATTCGACTATCTTTGTAACTATGAATTATGAATCATTATAAACCAATCAAAGATTTTCACAAAGCTATATTATAATATATTAAAATATATCAATATAAACTATAAACCATAAAAATAATCAATAACATATTATTTGATTTATAGGTAACTAACATAATATATTTGAATACTAGTTTGTTGGATGCACTACAATAATGTTTCCAGGAAACTTTCCAATTAATTTCATTCAGTATGCAATATTTCAACTATGATGAATTGCTAAAAATTATTCGTGGGCTTACGCTTTTTTATCGTAGGCAAGCAAACAACGGTAAACACCTTATTAAGTCAAAATAATGGTTCTCACCATACACGAAGTCACGAAAATACGAAATCATTATTTTCTTGCAGACCTTATGACTATAGGTATGAGATACAAGTACTTAATAAGTAATAACTTAATACATTTTAAGAGAGTATAATCTACGGAGAATCTTCGGTCCTAAAAAGAATACTGAAAACAATGAATACGAAAGACGAACGAACGCAGAACTAAAAGAACTGTTAAATGAAACCGACATAGTAGGTGTTCTAAAAGACTAAAAAGCCGAAGACTTATCTGGGCAGGACATGTGTGGAGAGCGAAGGGTAGAGTAGTAAACGAGGTCACAATGTGGAAGCCAGGTCGGAAAAGACCAATAGGACGACCAAGACAGCTGTGGAGTGACCGTGTCAAAGAAGATCTGAAACTCCTAGGATTCAAGGATGGAGAAACAAGATCGTTGGATAGAAAAGCATGGTGAGGCAAAGTGGAAGCGACGATGATTCTAAATGGCCCGGAAGAAGCCATAAAAAAATAGAGTATAATCTAGGCTAAAAAATTAAAACTAGAGAAGTATACGCCCGTATGTCACCCCGTATGACCGTATACCCCAAACATATAACACATAACATATAATCATATAATATGATATCATTGAATTCAAACTTAACACAATCCATTATACATTTATACAGTGACCCACTTGTAACCTACTGTACAGCAGAATGACATTCACTTACCAACTTTTTTTTTTTGTTCATATAATATCACTTGAAAATATATTTTTGCAATTTATTTTATTTGTTTTACACATAATATGACAAACAAATAATGTACAACAATTAACAAATGTAATTACTCAGAGGTAATTTTTTTTTTGTTAATAATATAATCTTTATTATAATCTTAATTCCTTATTAGAGGGAAATGGTCAAGATGGATTTTAAAGAAAATAGACTGGAGGAAAATGGCTACAGTCTATATACCAGTTTAATTATATACAATTTATTTAGGTATCTATACCTCTAATTATATTTGCCTTTGAGTAATTAAATTGTTAGTATATAATACTGTTAATTTATATATAATTGCTAGTATTATTAGATTTGATAATAAAAGTTTTAACTAAATAACTTACAAATAAAAAAAAAATTATGTGCGACATCTGTTGTCTCTGGCTAACACACAAATTATAACAAAACTGCAAAAGCACTCGTCGAATTTCTTATTTTATAACCAAACTGTTCACACTAGTAATTAGGTGAACACTAAACCAAACAAAAGTCGTAACCTGTGATAAAAATTATGAAAACTAAGAAAGTATGAATCTAGTATTCTACGTTGGCTATCATCCAGTTGACAATAGATGAATAGTGCATACTGGAGGTTTCTTTAATAATTTAAGTTTAAAGAAATAAAAGTTTTAAAACTATATATTTTAGGATACTAAATAGTAAATAGGTTAATTATCATTTATCACTGTCTTTGGTAAAATTGTAAGTTGTAACATACAAGTTTCAAATCAACATAGTACTTACATACTTTTTTGATTAATATAGCTTTTAACGTCAATAATTCTCAGGTCATTACAAAAAAAAAAATTAGAATAAAAAGATAAATATTTTTTTTTTGTAGAGCATGTATAATAATTATACAGAGTGTAACAGAAAGATCTGACGAAAAAAACGTATACTAGTTAAACGTAAGACAAAAATTGTGAAAATTATATGGATAATAAAAAGAATAATATTTTGAAAAAAGTTATTAAGTTTTAAATTAATTAATTCTAAAACAATATTGATATTTTCTAAAAAACAACTACTTAACTTAGATAAATGTTTTTATCATAATCCTATACTATAATTTTTAAATATAGTGCACGTATTTATAAATTATATAAAAGTAAATTTTTTAAAATATTTAGTAACAAAAGTTATTGTATGAGTCAGTTCTTTCTGTTACATCCTGTATAGCCTATATGTATATGTATTAAAAATTAAAATTTAATCACATTAGTTTGTTTATTATACCTACATAATACTAATACATGATGTGTTAAAAATGTTATAATCAAAATATGTTTTAAATTAAACATATTCTCGGGTTTGTAAAATACTACAAAAATAGTTTAAAATTTTTATCAGCTTATTATAATAGTTATTAGTTAGTTATTACATGTTACATAATATACGTTAATTTAAACTTTTTAATTAATTCCTTATAAAATAATAAAATAATAAAATAATATATAGGTACTTAAATGCATTTAATATTTATACGTGTTAACAATATAGGTGTCTACCAAATCCCGATCCCTGAACATGTAAAATATGTATAATTCTTGCATCACACATACATAAGAATACACCCACAAGCCACAACTAATAGGAATAATTTTGCACTACCTATTTACATCATGTGGCATGTACATAATGTTGTTCTTACCTGCAATAATAATGTTTAATATATTATGTTGAATGTTAAATCTAATTGCATAATATAGTTTTTCATTGAAATAAATGTGTTCCTAATGAAATATTAATGATGAAATAATAAATATAAATGTTATTAATTTCGTGATATTATAGAATATATAGGTAAGACGTTAATATAGTTAACTCTTAATCAGTACTCAGTGCATTCATGTTCATTGTTCGTTTTATAGAATTCAAAATAAAATTATTTGAATACAGGTCATTTTGGTCTTTACATTTTTACATAACGAAAAGTGAAAACACAAATATTTAATATTTATAAGTTTATAACCTTTACTAGGTAAGTAATGACCGATATGGTTCAATTTACTTAAGAACCTTTTTACAGGTAAAATTATTGCAAATTATCGTGGCTGAACCCATAAACTACAAAAACTATTGGGAGAAATTAATAAAAAATAATTTTCATTTACCTCCTTCACTGTATTTTCATATTTCTTTTAAACAATGATCAAAACGTTTACATTATAAAATATATAATTTTTTTACTCAACCAGTTATAATAAATTATAAATTACTCTATATTATATTATAAAATATGAAGTTATATACTTAGTTTTTATTTGTGATAGTGTTAGTAATAATACTAATATAAAGTTATATTTTAGCATATTATCCATCATTCACTTTTTGCAATTCAAAATTAATTCCATCCCAATTTGTTACGAGTTATAATTATATGTATAGAAATAGAAAACAAAGTAAACCGCTTCCCACTATTCACTCTGCATAATATAAAATATTATAATTTATTAATGATCATCATTACTCAACACAATACGAGTAATCTACTTAATATCTGCATTAAGTTAATTATATTCAATATCCAGAATATCTACTATAATTTATAAGATATGAAAATTCCATTTTTAAACTTGTACAAAAGACAAAACCATTATACTGTTTATGTTTTATTGCTTAGTAGCATAAAATATTGATTAATTTAATGGTTCACTAACATATAATGGTCAGATTAAAGTATCAAACCACTAAATCATGTTTAAGGGTCCGTTAGCTTTAGCTCACTTTTACATTTTTGATTCATTAAAATATGTTTATACGTTTAGTGGTTGTTATGCAATCCAACTCCAACCTATACCTCATACACTTATTACGGCTTATGTTTACCAATGTATGGTGCAGGAACCTACGTCGTGAATTATTCTTTTTTTCTAATCAATATTGGATTATTATTTATTGATAATATTGTAAAATACTATTCAAGTCATACAAACATTAAAAACATAATATAATAATTTCTTATACCCGAGTACAAATAGTAAATAAATTAAAAAATAAACTAAATCGATCCATTAAAAAATAATAAGAATAATTATATAAAGATAATATTTCTGGTAATCGAGAATTAAGGTCATTTGAAGCTTATAAGAGACCTTATATAATACAGTCGGAATGCCCCCTATTATATTGCGATCCTCATATAGGTGTACCTATAATACAAAATACATTTGTACGGCTTTGCGGTGGACGTCAATAAAAGTATAAACCAGTTTCCAGAGTTAAATACACTACAAAATTATACTCCATCAAACTAGGTAGGACCTAAGTTTTTGCCACATAATAATATGTACCACTCAGTAATATACTGAATCAATAATGTTTGGCGCCGTAAAATCTAGTCGAACGGCTGTATCCGTTAAAAGTTTAAAACTAAAACTGAATTCACATTTTCATGCATGAACCAAGCTAAAACTAGTGAATACTGTATTAGGCAGGTATATATATTTTGTTTGCAGTTGGGGACCTAATGATTTTCTAACCGATACTCAAAAGTATTATACTTAAGTAAGATGTTATATTTAATGCCTCTTTCAGATTAAAATATTATTTTTGTTTCTTATTGATATTCCCCTACTTACGTATTTTATAATATAATTTAAAATCACATACTAGACCACTGTTTATAATAAATAATAATTATTGTATTAATACAATAGTTTTTAATACATACCTACATTACAGAGTGTTATATAATACAAAAATTTAATATACCTGCTTATTATTAGAATTAATTTAAATCTGAACTTACCCCCTTATTAGTTATTATATCCTAAACATTTACAACTATGTAGGCACAAGCCCGGATTATGGGGGGGGGCAAGGGGGCATGGTCTCGGGGCCCATCTTTATCCCCAAAATGTATTTTTTTAATTCGTCCCATAATTTTCAAAAAAAATAAATATTATTTAAGTAGGTAGGTATTGTAGGTAAATTATTATTAATAACTATAAAATAAAATTGTTCTCCATTTTATATCACGAAAAATTATTATAAATAATGAACTGTTTGCCAATAGTTTTGTTTATGTTTTTTTTTTTGGTAGTTATAAGAAAAAAATATTTAGTTCTTGTAAATTAGGTATTTCAGTTAAAAGTATTTATGCATATTAAACCAAACTTTAGAGGACTATAGTTAATAACCTAGAAAAAAAAATTGATCATTTAACTGTCAAAATGTTCAGAAAAAATGTTTTACCAGAATCCATCAAAAAATATAGTGGTTACCATTTGAAAAAATAAAGTCGATTTTATTATTGGTACAATTGCGTGTTTAAACATTTTGAAAATGTTATAAAAAATTTGCCTGTTAAAAATAAAGAAATACGTCTTTTGTTTTGACGAAATCCCATATATCATCGATTCATAATTGTTAAGAAAAAACCGCGTACAATAACATACTGTATTTTTTTTGTATAGTAAAAATTTATACTATAATATAAATTCGTTAATATGTAATGATACAATTATTTTGAAAATTTAAGTTGAAAAGGAGCCCACTAAGTATAAGGTGTCCCGGGGCCCAATTGATTCTTAATCCGGCCTTGTGTAGGGACCTCCACAGAGTGGTGAGATTTATATGAGCTCTACCCATCACTAACAAAAAAACAAGTATTTCAGTCTCGGTGGTCAACATTTTGTCGTTAGTTACTTATAATGTTATTTATATGAATATAATATAATTTTGCATTCTCATAAACCCGGCACTTTATGTACGATGTACCTATAAGATTTTATAATTTTTAATAAACGTTGCACAATTATATTTCTGCGACTTGTATGTTATGTATTAACATCTAATATAATAAAAATAATAAATTAATAACATAATAATATAAATAACTCATTTTATACAAGTAATAATTTTTTAACTGCCACCGGGAAATTATAATCTAACTTGAATGTTCTGACTATTGGTACACGATCGAATACCTGGTCAAAATAAAGGCATAAGTGCTTGGTCTAATGATTACCTACCTATTATAGGTACCTATCCCACACTATGCGTAAGTAATATAATATCAGCAAAACAAGCCTATATGGCTATATAAATACACATGTTACATGACATCGTTAACCCACCACCCCTCAAATATTGGATCTAAATTACCATAATATCTAATCAGCTATATTATATAATATGAATTTTAGTCTTGGATTATTATTTATTGCCACCCATATAACATATTATACACATCAACACATGTACATGACGACATTACGTCTTGTTTATTTCAAAGTGTGGCGCCAAATCGTCATGGTAATAATATTTTGGTAACATGTTAAAATCGATTTGTCACTTCCAAAAGAAACGTCGCAACGACAACCAGTAACCTATATAAATAATATATATATTATATAAACCAGCAAAATAAATCTGTTTTTAAAACATAAGCTATACATAGATACTAGAAATATATACATTTATAATATTATATAAATCCGTATTTGTGTTTCCGAAAATTCAATGATAAATCTACGTCCTACACGATCGACGGTTAGACTTAGATACTATCTATATTCTATCGTATATACTATACAATAACCTACACACAGCTTATTTCTTGGTTTTTCGCTATAAAGCTCCAACATAAACATCCCATCTTCGATTAAGATCCCTCAGATTAGGAGACTTATACCAACGTCTTATTCCATACTTAAATTGTTATTCTATTTTATATTAGAAAATAGAATAATATAAAATAGATACATTGCAATCATAAATGATTTTTACGTACCTATATACAGTGGCGTAATTGGGGTGTTGCAAGAGTGAAGTGTTATTATTTATATTTTAGTATTTTACAACACCAAAAATATTCAAGTTTGTAAGTTTTTTAATTTCAGTCATGTTTTTTATCATTTTATTAGATAGTTAATCTATTAATTTATTTGTACTATGCATCTCCTTAATATTATTTATACTCTGCAATTAAAATTTACTTATAGCTTAAGTTCAACAATATTTTATTGACAATTTTTGTCTAATATGAAAAAGTTTGAACAAAAATATAAACCAAATTACGCCACTGCTTATATATTATATGTATATTATACTTAAATATAATAAGTAGACTAGTATATCATAGTGCTAAACGCAGGTTCTGGTCTGGGGATATTATACATATTTAAATTCTCTTTAAACTTAAAAGATCATATTTGCTAAAGTTTTTATAATAATTAGTTTGAAATGTGACATTCTTTTTTTTCATAATGATAATATTTTTATATACCGGTATACAACAAACAAACGATAAACATATTATACATCATACGTCTTATAAAATGTTATTCATTTATATACATAATTAAAAACGTTTTCACTCAGGTATATGTAAAATTATGAATGAATATCTATTATAAGTGATTGCGCTTGGTGGTAGGAGGAGATCTAGCCCACACAGATATGTGATCAACGTTTAACAAAATTCCTCCCCGAATCCTATATGGCTATATAAATATTAATTATTCGCTATTGCCTATTTCCTTATGTCCATAAAGAGTTTAAGATTCCATACGTTTTAGTGATAATCTTTGCAGTGTGGAGCGCAATGCCTATGTGGTATTTTCCTATATCACGGGTACCTATTTAATATTGTTAATTTATATTACGTGCAAATTAATACGTAGGTATACAATGTATACCTAGGTACCTCCTAAAAGATCGCATGCAGCATTAAAATAAGCAATAATAATATCATGTATAGGTACAGGACTTTGATTATTGTGTATAATATTGTTTTGTGTGGGACGTGTATAATATAATATTATATATTTTAATAAAACAATTGTACGTAACGATAAATATCAAATTCGATTTCTATTATTATGACGTGACAAATACCTTTGACGACGAACGCGAAAAGTACGAACAGAACGGCGGCTAGGCACGCGGCGCATTTAGCGCCATTCATACTTCCGGCGGAACAATATCGGATATAATTAAATGCACTTGCTCGTGGTGTGATGTGTGCGCACACTGCAGCGTGTGTGTGATAAATATGAATATTCGTATGTATGTGTGTGTGTGTGTGTGTGTACACGACTGTTTTTGCAGTACACTTAAAATATGATAATAATAATAATAATAATATATAATAAATATCGTAATAATAATATCGTGTTTACAAACTCCCGCTCGCTCGTGTGTGTGTATTTATAAACGCGCGCGCGTATACTACCACGGAACAGGGTGTACCGGCGGACGAATAATATTATAATATTATTATGTTCGACGACGACGGCGCCGCGACGGTGATAGCGTACAATATAAAGTTTGCTGCGCGTTTGACGGTCGGGCGCCGCGCGACCCCGAAAGTCGCCGCCGCCGACGACGACGACGCCCGCGGAGTTGGCGCTGTCGGGGCGGTCGGTGTTCCGGGCGCGAAACGCCACCAGTCGTACCAACCAGTGGCGTATTTAGGTTTTTGGCACGGGGGGAGAGATATTATTTTTTCCAATAGCCCCACTTTTAGAGCTAAGAGGTCTTAAGTTAGGACTCCGAAAAATGTTGCATATTGTTATTACAGCCTATGGTGGGGGGATCGATCCCCTTGTCCCCCCCTAAATATTTCACTGGTGCCAACTGTACCGGTACGGCGTTTTTGAACGACGACAATATTATAATACGTAGACTTGTAGGCCGCGGCGTCGTCAATAGCTGCAGTAGGTAACCTACTCAACAAACAACAACTACTATTATAATACGAGCGATTATAATTTTGACCCCGACAAAGGTCAAAATATCTGAAACGATTTTTAAATACCTACACGTACCTGCATTACTGTGTGATACTGTATTATGGCAGTAAAATATGGATTTTTATATTTTTTTTGTATTTTAGTTCATTATTATATTTTTTGATTCAGATGGCTGTTTTTTTTTACTTACCGAAATTTGGAAGACTATTTTTTTATATATATAATATTATAATATTTTATTATAGCAGAAACGCGTGATTATGATACTATAATACTTTGAATAAATTAAAACATATTATCTATATTATAATGTTTAACATTAAATTAATGAAAGTATGAACAAGTAATTTATAAAGTATAATGTAATTACACTAAAATTATTTTAGTTATCCAAGAAAAAAAAAGTCAATTTTCATTTTTAAGAACGTTTTAGAATAATTAGTCGTTTCTAGTTATACCGCGTAATAATAGGAATACAGGCAGTTTAATAAGTTCAACTTAACGGCATTTTTTTTTATTATTATTATTGGAAAACAAGAATATACAATACAATAAGTAATAGGGCCCCCCCCCTATTACTTATTGTACCCCCCCGTACAGTTTACAGGACTTCAAAATTCTAAGCAGTTTTTTTTTTAATTTCGTTTGAGACGGCGGAGTGGATTATTAGGTATAAGTGTTTTTGTGGAATGATTTATAGAAGTGGGTGGTAAATGTATGAATGGTTTGGATTTTGAGGTCAGAGTGGAGGGATAGATTGCTGACGTACCAGGCGGCTTTTGTGATGAGGCGATGGCAAATTGACTGAAATGCTTAGAAAATGTTTATATTTGATATTTTGGCCGTACCCTAAAGCAGAATACCGTAGGTCATTGATGGACGAATAATTTGTTTGTAAATTAAGAGTTTGGTGTTGAGTGGAAGATTTGATTTGAGGAGGTGTCTAAGTTTATGGAGTTTTAGGTTAAGAGATTTTCTCTTAGTTTTTATATGAGTGGCCCAAGTAAGTTTGTTGTCAAGGTAGACTCCAAGATAATAAGTTGCTTTTTTAGAGGGAATATAATGTCATCATTAAGAGTCGTGGGGGGGGGGGCAGAGGCCTGGTCGTAGAGAGAAAGTTGTATGTGTTGATTTGTTAGGATTTATTTTAATTCTCCACAGGTTGAACCAGTTTTGAAGTTCATTAAGGTGTGATTGGAGATCTTCAGAAGCTCTGGTTAGATCGAAGTTTGTTGAAATAATGGCTGTATCATCAGCTAAGGTGTAGCGAGACAGCATTTTATAACAATAAAAAATAACAGAGTAAAAATATTTTAAGAAGACCATTATTTAACAAAAAATTATTATTTAGAATACTGTAAAATTAAATAAGTACCTTTGGCAGTTTGGCACCTACTCATACTATTTGTTAAAATGTAATAAAAACGTTATAATTATATAAATTAATACATATTATTATAATATATCTATACTTAACGTAAATACAATATTGAATATTTCCATAAGACTTTAAAGAAGGAAAAGACTTTTTTTTTTGATCAATATAACACATAAATACTATGAGAAATATATTCATTTTTTTGTCATTTATTTAAAAGTTATTCAATTTTGAATTCGCGAACTCTTGACGTTAGTGCGTATATCGCGTATATATGTTGGCCTTTGGGGACTGCAGTTTCTAATTTTATGTAGAATGGAACTGATCGAATTTACCATACTGTGTTGTGTAGGTATGTAGGTAGGTATATCATCATAATAATTATATATGCACCATATACACGATACACCATTAAACCAATTTTTAACGATTTTTTCTATGCTATAAATAATTATTACGTAACCGTGTGATGTGACCCTCCCTTAGTAATCAGCATTGATGAAAGGGTTAAAACTTAAAAGCTAAACTTTCAAACAGCGATACTTAGGTCTATACTTAATAAACTATCGCAACTATATTCAGTGCTGATAATGGGTACAATGTTTATTGAAATTTGTACTTATTTATTTATTCGTTGTTGCATATAAATTATAATGTGGCTATAGCCCTGATCGAACGATTGGAATAATATTATAATATCAATGGCACACCCCATGTGACTTATACCAACATTGTGTACTCTTTTTGAACTTTTTGGACTACAATTTTATTGTTTTTCGTGTACCTAAAAGTTTTTAAAATCTCGGGTTCCATGTTAATGAAACCATGATTTTCAAAATGTATATATATATAATATATATATAATCCAGTCGGGGTACAACATTTTTTTTTGTGGTACACTAAAGCACAAAAAGAGTACACAATTCTGATTATTGGTTTCTTTTTGTTTTTTTTGTTTCGGTTTCTAAGTTAATATAGGGCGTTAACTTGCTGACCGAAAATTTACTAATTATTGCTGAACTACGCTTGAACATAATAACAAAGTCAAAGCCGTGCCGGTATACAACACTGTCACACAGGCAACAAAATTATATTAATAGTCGGTATCTACAGTTTGACGTAGGTATATGGTACAACCGAATATAGTAGGCAATATTAGTAGGCAATGAATAAGCGTAATGTAGGTAATATAAGCAAACTATAATAAAAATAACAGGGTTTAAACCGTAGAATAATATTTTTATATTAAAAATTGTAAAATTCTTTACCTATTTTCTCGACCTGTGGTACGATATAGTGGTACTATTAAATTAACAATGTACAAATAACTTATTATTATCTTAATATCGTGCGACTATTAGACCATCGCAAGAAAGCTGCAAACACCGTGTTCAAACATAATATTTTATACTACGATGAGAACTGAGAAGATGTATTTTTTCATACTGATAATAATATAAAATTATTATGTCCGTATGGTTGTATACAATTATTACAGTTAAAAGGGTACTGGGTAGTTGGGATTCCAATTTACCAAAAATCGGTTTTACTATATGAAGTATGAGCCAAGAATTTGGGTATCGATTTCATATTAGTTTTTATTGTACTAGGTATACGTGGATGGTATGTTTTAATATTATGTATTAGTTATATATTGTATTATTAATATAATTTTAATAAATGGTTATGAAACATCGACCACACGTACCTAAGATATTAAACAATTCATACTTCAAAACCGCTGGGCTTATAATAGGGCTAATAGGTATACATTTTTTAACCGTGTAGCCCTGGGCAACTGCGAACTGCTTCTTCCCTATTTAAAAGGAAATGAAAATTAGGGCTTTAATCCGATCTGCAAAAAGTTCTCATCTTTTAGATAAAAGAATATCATTACTATCAATATTATCAGAATAATATTGAACTTTTCGGAGTATTTCAATATTTAAGAAGAAAGTTTGGACAAGTAATTTATTAGGTACCTACCTTGTTACTAAAATTTATAAATATTTACATTTTTAGAAAAAAGTTATTATTAACGACCTAGCTAAAGTTATGAAGAAATAATATTTGCAAGAACTTTAAAAGTTTTTGAAATAATTAGTGTCTTACGTTAAAATTAATATTAATATCGAATTGTCATCCATCGGGTGTACTCATATTTAAACAGTTATAAAGGTATTTTATTTGTATAGATGAAGCTTGATAATTTAATAAAAAGTTCCTCGTGAGATTTTAGATACTAGTTAAAAAAAAACCGTAAGTATACCTGAACAAAATACATAGAATTTCCACAAGCCGCATTAATTAATTTTACACAAGAAGTTGACATATTTATTAATAATATTATCAAATGAAAACCAAATATTATATAACATAACACACAATTTTATTCTAGTTAATTTACATAATATATAATTTACATATACAATTTACATAATATACAAATATACAATTTACATATACATTATTACACTAGCATAGCCATTATATTTTATAATCATTTAGATAGGTATGCATTTTTTACAAAACATTTTCCCTGTTCGGGGTTAGAGTAGGTGAAAAAGTGCTGGTGGAGGGCAGCAGACAGCAGTAACCACTAATATACATCGGTGATTACCACAGCGGATCTATTATTATTATTATTATTCGAATTACTTGATGAAATAAAAAAAATGAACATGTCTAATGACTACAGTCAAGATATAAGGACACGTGACGTATCAAAGATTGCCACTGCTGTAGATGCAGCATCATTTTTGGTTGGTATTGTCCAAACGTATTTAGGAAAAGATAAACAAAACAAATTAGAATCACCTGCAGGTGCGCAAAATT